CCAGACCTTGGGAATGAGGGATTTGGATCCTCTGCCCCTCTTGGTGGGGGGGGGGGGGGGGAGGTGAGGGTGGTGAAGGGTACAGGCCTTGCCCCCCACCAGTGGGGACAAGAATCTGTCATTTGTCCCTATTTCCCTGTTCTTCTCCAAGTAGGGAACCATATTAGAATGTTAGTCTTGGCCCCTGTCTCTACCTCTTACTCACTTCTCCCCAAAGAAAGACGGTGTTCTCTGATGGAAACATAGAGTAAAGGATCATTGTACACACACATACACACATACTCACACACGTGCATGCTCTAAGCTCTCTTCTCTCTTTTGCACCTCTTTGCCTGCAAAGTGTATGCACTCCCCTCAGATGCTGCTTTTATATGGTAAGCACACCTGTTTAGGCCCAGACCTCGTGATTAAGGTCTGAAGAGCACTTCCCTCTGTCTCCACTTTTGGGGTAGCCACGCCCCTTGCAGCTCTCCAGGTAAGTGGCTTTTTTGTATATTCTGCTTTGGGTGGGTAATCCCAGTACCAGGAATTGGGAGGAGCGGGAGAGGCAGTGGAAGGATGGTATTAGAAAGCCCAATTTTGGCCATAGGTACAGCTTCATCAACAAAATACTGATATTTTGATCCTCATTAGTCTGATTCTTGTATCTATTACTCAGTTGGCTGAGAATTTAGAGGGAAAAAGTTTATGATTAATTTTCTCTCTGAAGCCCCAACATATGTAAATATGCATTGGCTGTTAAATCTTGAGAAATAGGCAGTATGACTGGAATTAGGGCACCAAAGTAAGGTGTGTGGAGATGGGATGTTTGGTGTGCCAGGGCACAGGGCTTTAGTGCTTTCGTGATCTTGGGCCTTTCAGTTCTTTGGCTTTTTCAAGTCGTAGCAGCTTATGGTAGCTAGTGTCCACAGACAAGTCACTACTTTTTTAGAGGTCCTGGACATAGGGCTTTGCAAAAGTAGGCTGCATAGGCCACTGTGGATCATCTTGATTCACACAGATATAGTTCAGACAGGCTTGCTGCAGAAGGGAAAGGCGCTATGGAATGGAATGATTTGTGCTGCCTTTATTCTCAGCCAGAATTGCTGATGAGGACTTTAAGGTGCAATGGTGTAAGTTCCACATGTACTTCAAAACACAAATTTAGGAGATTCTAGCCCCTAATTGTGTTAGAGATTGGCAGGTGACATTAGATCAGTTTCACCCTGTTTTGTTCTCTTTTATCTTGATTTGAATTGCACCCATTTATAGGGCCAAGGAGAGACTTATGGGAGGGGCCAAGTTCTTTAATATGGGCTATCCAGAGTCATCTTCTATTTATGTTCCAAGTTGTTGCCAGATGTGTTGACTATATAAACCCTGACAGTGGAATTTCAGGGACTCAAGATGTGTGTTCAATCATAGAAGAATGGTGGATTTTAATCATAAATAAAAAAAAGAGAAATGCAAATGTTTGTTATATAGGGGTTTGAGGTAGAGAAAAACAATGCTATTATAATCCCAAAGGTGAGGAAGAGTATTAAAAAGAGTTGTGCCTGGATTCTTCTCTCCTTAGGAATCAGGTCTATTCAGGAAATCAATTAGGAGCCATATTCAAATATAAATTTAGATCTTGAAGTCAAATTGGAAGGAATGGGAGAGTGAAAAATGAATAAAGACAGGCTGATTGAGCTGGAGGAAGAGAAGGATTTCTTTAGAAGAAAGGTTGTGTTCTTAAAGGATAGAATTGACAATACAAATGGGAAAATAAGAAAGACCAGGAGCCAACTGATCTTAAAGATGGGATTATAAAAGAGGGTGGTGGTTTAGTCATTACTAGGTTAGAGGAGGTGATCGAAACCCAAAGAGATATAACAGAAGGATGGAAGCAAGCTCTCAGAAAACAGAAATGCCCACAACCGCCAGGGATCTCAGGCCCAAGGTAATATTGAGAGGCACCTACCTGAATCTGCAGAGAAAGCAATGAGAAATCATCCCTTTGCCTCTGAGATAAGTGTATAGAAGGTTGTAGAAAATACAGACAGTACTTCCAACATTTTTTGCTTAGTCTCAGTGATATTACCATTGTAAATGGGAAGACAAAAATGGCTTGGAGAATGTACAGAGTTAAATCTCTAAGGGAATGCATAAGGTAGATGAGACATGAAATATGTCAAAGTAATTAATCAAATTAATAGAAATTAGGGGGAAAAAAGCATGATCATCCCAATTGGTTCCAAAATAAGCGTTTGTTAAAACTCAACACCAATTCATGGTTTAATTTTAAAACACCTCAGCAAACTGGTAAAAAAAAAAAAAAGGTAATTTCTTAAACCGATGAAGAGCATCCACCAAAAGCCTACAGTAAACATCAAAGTTAATATTGAAAGATTGCAGGCATTTCTGTTCACCATATGCTAAAACAGAAAAAAAGTCTCAACAAACTCCAGGCAGGTAATCACATAAAAATACGACAAAAGTATGACAAAACCCCATGCACTGAAAGATATAAAAGCAAACCATTACCTACCTCGGAAAAGAGGCAATTATAAAAATTTAGAACTGAATGAAAACCTCAAACACTATATAGCAAAACTTCTTTGATGCAAGCAAACGGTACTGGGGAAGGAATGTAGTTTATAGCCTTAAACTTTTATTTAAAAAGGAGACTGAAAGTGAATGAACTAAGCTGTCAACCCCAAGAGAAAAAGAAAACAAATCCAAAGAGATAGAAAGAGACATTACCATGGAACATGCATTCTCAAAAGGGAAGATATTGCCCCCAAGGGAGCAAAAATTGGTTCTTGAGGGGTGAAAAAATTGTTAGCTATTACTATGGTTGTGCCCCTCCAAAAGGCCATACTACATAAACATATACACTATAGGGGTAGTTTAGGGTTTTGAGGAGAAAGGGGTCATGATTAAGAAAAATGTCTATAAAGGCTCCTGGAGGGGTGATATGAAAAAAAGTTGAAAAACACTGTCATAGATAAAAGCAGAAATTAATGAAACAAAAGAAAAAAATAAGTAGAGTTGAACAAAACTCTTTTTAAAAGCCTAATAAAAATAGATTTCTTTGCCAAATATGATTTTAAAAAAGAAAGAAGGCACAAAAACAGGTATCAGGAATTTAAAAAGGCATGAAATTATAATAACCCATGAGCAGATTTTTTACATTGTAAGAGAATAATACAACCAACTTTATATCAGTAGAGTTGAAAAATAATATGGATAATTTTATAGGAAAATATAAAATTTCAAAATGGTCTAAGATGGTATAGAAAATCTGAAACTGAAATGTTAGTCAAAGGCTAGCAAAAAATAACTAGGTCCCCAAAAAGGCACTAGGTCTAGGTGGTTGTATAGGCAAATTCTCCAAACTTTCAAGAAACAGATAGCTTCCATCCTTTATAAATTGTTCCAAATCATAGGAAAACATATAAAATTATCCAATTTACTCTATATTATGTAGTTAAGCTAACCCTAATACCAAAACAAGTAAAAGGAGGGGTGGGGGAGAATCTGCTTTTATCTATGAAGTTGTGCGCAATAATCCTAAGTAAAATATTAGGAATTCTAATTCAGCAGCAAATGGAAAGAATACTGCATTATGATCATGTGAAGTTTATCTCAGGAATACCAGATTAATTCCATAATAGAGATCTATCAATGTAATTCACTATGTTAATCAAAGAAAGGAGAAAAATCAATGACTTTCTTATATGCCAGCAATCATCAATCAGAAAATGTAATAGACTAAGTGATTCCATATAGAGTAGCAAAGAATAACATAAAGAACCTTTATAGACAAAACTATGAAACTTTTACTGAGTGACATAAAAGAAAATGTGACTAAGTGGAGAGAAATAATGTGTCTGTGGAAGGTAAAACTCAATGCTATAAAGATGTCAGTCCTTTTCTCAAATTTACGTATTTAATGCAATTCCAATCAAAAACCCCCAAAAGATTTTTTTTTTTCTTGCAGAGGAAGACTTGCCTTGAGCTAACATCTGTTGCCAATCTTCCTTTTTTTGCTTGAGGAAGATTTGCTTTGAACTAGCTAAGATCTGTGCCAATCTACTTTGTATGTGGGTCACTGCCTCAGCATGGCTGCTGACAAGTAGTGTAGGTCTGAGCCCAGGAACTGAACCTGGGCCGCCAAAGCAGAAGGCACAGAAATTAACCATTAGGCCATGGGGCCAGCCCCCAAAAAAGGTTTTTCATGAAACTTTTTCAAGGAGATATTACAGAAGATCATGGGGGACAGGGAGAGAGGGAGAGAGAAGTGCTTTACCAGACATCAAAATATTACAAAATTATGGTCATTAAAACAGTGTGGTATAGTACAGGAATAGGCAAATAGGTAAGTGGAATTGAATAAAGAACTCTGAAACAGGCCTGAGAATATAGAAAAATTTGGCATGTAAGAGAGATGGCAGTTCACATCAGTGAGGAAAAGACAAACTAGTCAATAGATGCTATTGGGCTCTTGGAGTCCAGCCCCCTGAAATAGTGGTTAAGTTTGCACTCTCCACTCCGGCGTCCCAGGGTTCGTGGGTTTGGATCCCAGGCACGAACCTACACCATTCATCAGCCATGCTGTGGCAGCAACCCACATACAAAACAGAGGAAGATTGGCACAGGTGTTAGCTTATGGCAAATCTTCCTCACCAGTGCCCCCCCAAAATAAAAAATTGAAAACAAACATGCTCTTGGGCTCTTCATGAGACAAGAAAAATTAAACTTAATGTTACTTTCTATCTCAAATCTTTCAGAAAAAAAAAATTCCAGGTGGTAAAGACCTAAACATTTTTAAGCTATAAAAGGTACTAATCAAAAATACTGGAAAATATATCATCATTGGGTGAGGAAGGCCTTCTTGTTTAGGACGCAAGAAATTTTAAAATAAAAATTTAAAGAGGGAAAAGACAGATTTGACTGCATTAAAATTCTAAAATGTTTTATGTCTGAAAACCTAAACAAAACTAAATATCAAGCTACACTCTGAAGAGTATATTTAATGGGTACAGGAGTAATATCCAGAATATATAAAGAAGCAAAAATTCAAGAGACAAGGACCCAAAAAAGGTGGTGAAAGCACAGTAACCGGCAATTTAAAGAAAGAATCAGAATTGATAGACAATCAGTGGATCTTTAGCCTTATACATATAATGCATTTGCTCTTTTAAAAGGAGAATATCTTTACGTATTGCTTGCATAAGTTAAAACATTTTTTAAAAATGTTTTGAAAGGAAAATACTATTGGTTAAAAAACAAAAGCAGATAATGGAGTAGGAAATGATATACCAGGCAAATATTAATAAAAGCTAGCAGGGTGATAAGATTAATATCAGAGTCAAAATAAAATTCAAAGTACCAAACATTAGTGGAGCAAAGAGAGATTATTTTATATGGAGAAAAAGTACAGTACACTAAGAATCTAAAGCAACCAAGAACCATTTTGCCAATATATTAGGGGTGTCAGCTCAGGAGCTCTCGTGCCTACTCCAGGACTTAGAGAGGGGTTTCTTCCCCCATCCCTCACTGGGAATTCAGAGACCCATTCCCATTTTCTAAGCTCATTGCAGGAGTGAGAGGGTGCCAAAAAAGGTTAAATCACACAGGAATTAAGCCCAATCTAAATTCCCTCAGGAAAATCCTACACCCACTTTTTTTTTTCTCTGGAATATTCTTTATCCCTCTCATTTTCCACAATAGCTTTTGATGACCCAAAGTTTGACCCCGAATGCTAGTTCCCCTTTCAAAATATTCTGGTTTAGTAAAGGGGAAGAAAAGAAAAGTAGTCAAAAACATACGAACGTTTACAAGATGGTAGCATCCTGTATTATCTATAGCTAATCACAACTTATTAACAAGTTCCCACTCCTGTTAATGACAGAGGAAAAATTTTAATTTGTCAAACTCTCTCTCAGGGCTGCCTCCTTCCAAGGGTCTCCCTGCTCCTTCCCACCATGGTTTCTGAATCCAGGAGTTTATGTATCCTCGTTATGGGAGAAAGGGAAGCAGTCTCAGGGCTGTGTACTGTGCTGTTCTGTGAGTCCTCACTCATTTTCCATGCTGTGTTGCTTTTCTGTGGGTCTCTGGACACATAGTGCTTGTGCCCGATGAGTTGCAACAGGTCCTGGCTGGTTCTTTTAGCTGCTTTTCTGACGCTTGCTGCTGGAGCCTGTGGTCCTGCTGTAGCCTCTCATGAGGTTTCTTTGCTGGATGCAACTTTCTCATTCCAAACACAGACCTCTTCTGGACTTTGGGTTTTCTCAGCATTTCTGCACCCTCTCATCAAGGCATGAAAGATATTCTGGTTCCCCTCCATACCACACCAAGGCCACAGGGAACTGGGGTGCAAACACAAGTCCATCTGCCTAGACACCTTTCAGCCATTTCAGAATTACTTCTTGAATGGCACCATATTGCCCAAGCACCACGCTGAACATGGAGTGGAAGTGAGGGACCATCCCAGAAGTTCCAGATTCTACCTCAACTTATCTGGGGTTCCTGATGTCGTGTCCATCTTCCCTATTCTGGAACAAGACCCAAGGAACGACGGGGCTAATGGGTTCCTTCTCAGGGACCCTAACTCCAGGTAAGTCTACTCTCAACCCCTCTGACCTTCCCACCTCCTTGGCTCTTCCAATTGGAAGAACACTTCACTTCCTCCCTCAGGAGATGACAACTTCCCACCATCATACTCTGAGTTGGCTCTGCCTATTGATTGTAGGCATGCCTATTGCTTGTAGGTAGCATGTCTAGGCTACATGCTTCACTGTTAATATTTGGGTGTTTGGAATTTGGAGCTTCATTTACTTTCCCAACAAAGCTTTCAAGACTATTGTTGAGTTATAGTTATAGTTCAAAAGCTGAACTGGAGTCATTATTTACCTTTACATTCCTCAGAGAATGAACAATCACGATGTTCTCTGAGACAGATGGATGCCTCTGGTTAAAAACGGAATGGTCACATGGAAAAAAATAAGAAAAAAAATCGCATTAATATTTTTCAAAATATATCTCCCTCATACCAATTTTTAATCTAGTTAAAGATGAAATTATTAGTTCTGAAGGTGGAACTAAGAGCAGGGTTTTCCCCCCTCTGACTAATTGGGTCCTTACAAAAGGACACATTTATCAAATACGAATAAAACCAAAGGAAGCTTTAGTCTGTTGTCTGCAGACCCCTAGAATCAGAAAAAGCCCCGGGGAAAGGCAAGAGCACAGTTATTGCTGCTCCAGGAGGATGTGTATGGTACAAGTAGATGGCAGAGAGGGTACCAGCAGCATCCTATCATCCTGCTGTCCCCAAGGAGTTCTAGGTCCACTCATCTAGTTGAGGGAGGGCCAGCTACTTGGTCAGTGGGTTCCAGCAGGGGTCAGCAATGGATCGGACTGGAGTGCATCTAGCAGCCCCAGAGGCAGTGCTAGAGCCTTTCCTTCTGGGGCTGTGTGTACTCATGGCTTTTACCTAAAAAAACCAGGCTTTCATGGGCCAGGACATACATTTCAACAAATATTTATTGAGTGTTCACATTGTGTCAGGCACTGTCATAGGCACGTAGAATACACAGGTGAATAAAACAAAGATCCATGCCCTCGTGATCTTATATTCTAGCAGAAGGGATATAAAAATAAACAATAAGTAAATTATATAGTACGTAAGGTAATAAAAGGTATGAATTTAATAAAAAGTAGAGCAGGTTAAGTGGGATCAGGAGTGCTGGGTGGGAGTAGGGGTTAGATTGAAGTAATAAATAGAGTGATCTGGATAGGCTTCATTGCACAAATAAGATATGAACAAAGACTTGAAGGGCAGGAGATATCTGGGGGAAAACTCTCCAGGCAGAGGGAACAGCTAAAGAAACAACCCTAGGGGATGAGATCAAGAAACAGAAAGGAGACCAGGATGGCTGCAGCAGAATTATGATAAGAAGGAAGGGAGAATGCCAGATCATATGGACCTTATAGGCCATTGTAATGACTTTGGCTTTTCCTCTGGGTAGAGTGGAGAGTCAGTGAGATTCTGAGCAGAAGCATGATATGATCTACCTTATCTTTAAAAGGATAATTCTGACTGCTATGTTTGAGGAGTTTAAACAAGGAGACATGTTAGGAGGCTATTTCATTAATCTAGATAAGAGATGATGGTGGCTTGGACCAGAGTGATGATAGGGGAGGTTGAGAGAAGTGGTCAGACTCTGATATATTTTAAAGGAAATGCCAATAGACTTTCCTAAAGGATTGGCTATGGGGAGTGAGAGAATGAGAAAAGTCAGAATGACTCAAAGTTCTTTGACCTGAGCAGCTGGGAGGATGGAATTGCCATCAACTGAGATGGAGAAGGCTAGAAGAGGGGGCAGGTTTGTAGGGGAAGAGCAAGTGTTCCATTTTGGAGATATGGAGTTTGAAATGTATGTTAGACATCCCAGTGGAAAATTTGAATAGGCAATGAAATGTCGTGTCTGGAGTTTGGAAGAAAGGTCTGGGCTAGAGATAAAAGTTTGGAGTTAACAGCAATTTAAAGCTCTAAGTCTGAATTAGATCAACAAGAGAGTGAGTGTAGGGGGAGGAGAGAAGAAAGGCTAAGACTGATGCCTGGGTCATTCCAACATGAAGAACTGAGGGAGGTGAGGAGGGACCAGCAAAGGAGACTCAGAAGATGTGACCAGTGAGATAGGAAGAAAGCCAAGAATGTGATGTCCTAGAAGCCTAGTAAAGAAAGTGTATCCAAAAAGAGAGTGGTCCACTTTGTCAGAGGCTCATGCTAAGACAAGTAGGATGAAGGATGGAGAGCTGGCCATTGACTCTAGCCCTCAGTGGTCATTGGCAACCTTTGATAAAAGCAGCTGTCGTGGAGTGGTGGGAGTCAATGCCAGATTGCAATGGATTTAGAAAAGAACAGGAAGAAAGTGGAGACCATGGTTATAGGGCACTATTTTGAGACATTTTTCTGCAAATGGGAGCAAGAAATTGAGTGGAAATTGGTTGGAGACAATGGGGTCAAGAGAAGTGATTCTTTTTTTTTAAGATAGGGAAGTAGAAGGGGTTGGGGAGAAACAGCCTGTTTATATGCTAATGCTAATGAAAATGATCCAAGAGGAAACAAAAAGTTACTAATGAAAGAGAGAAAGGGAGGAAAATTGCAGGACTGATATCTGTGAGGAGGCAAAGGCAATGATATCTAGTGCACAAGAGGAGGGATTGATCTTAGCTGGGAGCATGGATGTTTCATCTGTGAAGCAGTAGGAGATTCAGATCTCTTCTCCACTAAGGCCTGCTCCCTGTTATAGTGGTCCCTCAGTTACTCAATTACTAATACAAAATCTATGATGAGGCATTTACTTCCCTGATGAATTTCCGGGTTGCACAGTAAAGGGAAAACATCTAAGAATTCTGAGGTGTTAAATTCTGAGTTTTAAATCATAGATATATTTTTCCTTGGGTTGCTAATCTCTCTTAATTTCTCTTCCCAGCACCATTTTTAAAGCTGAGTTGGGAATTTTTATCTCCTTTGTAACCAGAATGACTGAGGCAGATGGGGTCTTCTGATACATTTGATGACTTGTTGGCCATTAGCTACAGTAATGTCCTTGCAACAGGCAACCTTACCTTGTTACCCAGGAGCCCTCGAACATGTATTCAGTCCTAGTTAGAGGACCACTGTGACTGCATTCAGAGTCTGGCCCATCCTGATGTAGTTCCTGTTATACAGAGGTAGCTTTTATTCTGGTGTCCTAGAAAGTAGACCTACCTTCCCATCTTCCCAAGTATTTGTATAGCTAGTGCAAAACACTTTTCTCAGACAACCATCAGCTTAACAAGTTCTGGTTCATAGACAATGTCACAGTGATGGTCCCCTGGGATATTTGTGAGACTCTTCCTTAGCCCCTCATCGTGGGTGTTTTAGGTCTAGGATTAAAGGGTCTTAGCATCCACTCTTTATACTTTGGTGGAGACAGAAGGCACTTTGTTGACTAGGAAGTGGTAGGTCAACCTTCCTGATATTTCCCAGAATGCCAAATTCAGTTCAACAAGAGCTGAAAGTTGCTTTTCTCCAGGGCTGTAATTAGGAGCTGGTGGTGGCAATATGCATATCCAGAGGTTCAGAGACCACTTTTTTTTTTGTTAACACTCAATGTTCTGCCAGAGCTCTAGGAGACACATTATCTAACAAGGAGACTTCAAGGGGCAGGGGCGAGACCTCAAAGAAGAATGATAGAACTCTTGTGTACTGACTTGAGTCCCTCCTGCTTCTTAGGCTTCCCACTCAAGGGAGCCCCAAGGTAGAAGACTGATGGGTGACTAAGTAGATAAACTGGAATAAGATGCTGGTAACTAGACAAGTTGGCAAGGCACTGAGTCTCCTTCTTGGAAAAAATCACCTTCAGGGGAAAATCCTTGTGACAGCAGACACTTAATGCTCAGAAGTCAGAAAAGGCGTTGAGACTTTGGAGCTTGGGTATGTGCAAAACACCCCTGAATGGGCTCTAGATAAGGACATCATTGATACAATCCTACAAGAAAATTCTGAAGGAGAACAGGACACCAAGAAAAAGGTCTTGCCACACCACAAAGTGGTACAAGTCAGGAGAATTCGAACTACTGTAGTGAAGTATGCTGAGAGTGTGCTGCTGAGCATCACAAGTGAAGGGGATGCTGCTAGTTGGAGTGGACAGAGATCTAAAGGCAAGCATTGACTGTATCAATGGCAGCAAATAATTGTAGTAGATGTTATATCTGAGCCAAGTTAAAGACCCACACAACAAGTTTTATGAGTCATCTGTGGCCAATCTTTTTAAGGGACCCTATGGGAGAATTAAAGAGTTAAGTGGTAGGAAAATGACCTCTACTGAAGGCTATTAGGCATAGTTGTTGAATTTTCCATAAAGGCCTTAAAAGCCACAAGGCACCAGACTGTCCCATGTCATTTAGAGTCCCAGCAAAAAATATATAGCACATTCAAATTGGGTCAATAGAAGAGTTTAATAAAAGCGCTATTCTCAATGGCATGAGTAGAGGTTAAGCAAGGGATAGTTCGGTATCCTGCAGCTATTAACTTAGGGTGCCATTACCATTCCTAGACTTGAAGGAGCAAGGAGAGGGGCTTAGCAACAGGTTACCAGAACCTAAAGAGAGAGAGCTGCGTGGAAAGGTTCACCTGACAGGTGCAATGTTCTTCAGTTAAGGGACGAAGCCAGCTTGCAACAAGTCTTCCAGGAAGAGACCTAGAAAAAATTACCAAGATCTCACTCTCCTCCCTCCCATGGGTCTGTTTTCACTTGTTCACCATTGGCCAAACCCAACTGGAAGCCAGAGAACAAGAGAGTATCTTGACTGGGTCAGATTTCTGAGGATGAGAAATGTAGAGAGTAGATATGGAGGGATATCAAAAGATATTCAGTAAAATATCAGTAATTTTGGAGGACTAGAGGAATACCAGTGGTCTTTTTTTTTTTTTTTTTTTTTTTTTTTTTTTTTAGTTTAACTTGTTTAGATGACAGAACAAAATATCTGTTCACTAAGAACAGGAGATCTAGACCACACATTATGGAACTCCACCTCTAAGCTGCATTCCCCAAGAAGAGCAATAACCACCATACAGTTAGCATGGCCAATAAGATCAATTTTGAAAAACATTACCGTTTACCAATTTATAATTTTAATGTTCTTTTATCCCTATTACAGAGCAAGGGCAATATATTTCCATTGTAGAACATTTAGAAAGATAGATAAACCAAAAGGAGAAAATAAAACTGTCTTGTAATCCCACATTCCAGCAATAATTACTGCTGATATTATGGGATATATATTTTAAGTTTCTTAATCATACCTTACATATGTATTTGTATATTTTTAACTTCTTATTTTGACATAATTTTAGGCAAAGTTGCAATAGTATACACAAAATTGCCATATTTCCTTCACAATAATCGTTCAAATGTTAAACCTTTCACCACATTTGCTTTATTCATATTTTTCTCACTCTGTGTGTATACACACGCTCATATATACATACACAAATATAATTTATACACATCCCACACATATATTTTTTCCTGAATCATTTGATAGTAATCAATTTTAAAATTTTAAGAGGCAAGGTATGCCAATAACCTCTAAACCATCAATATCCCCAAGTGTAATAAGAAATCCTCAGAATTAAGAATGAGAGAATAATAATGATAACAGAGCCGGTATCAAGGAATTTCCATCAGATCAGAGCAGACTTATCAAGAAATTGAACACCCTTAGACCTTTGTAAATACCCTGGGGTCTTATTGCAATCCTGAGAGAGGCTGTGGAGGGTCCTGGGTGACAAGTGCCCAGCCATGCTCCTATTTATGGGAATGAGACTTTTAAACTGGGCTAGCCTGAGAGATATCAGGTAGCCATTAGAGGGCTCAGAGAGGGACCTAAGAGAGCCACCTGTGAGTGGATGTCTGAAGGCATTGAGCAGCCAGACAAGTGATGCTCCACTCCAAAGATATTGCTGCTTGGCATCCCATCTCATTTAGAGTGTAGTATATCATTGTGGAAAAGTCAATTCCAGGTGTCCAACTGTAAATGCTTGGTATAGAAGATAAAGAAATCCGTCATTCCTACCAGGATATAATCTCCCCCCCAGTGGAATCAGTATGGAAAGCAGAGAAAGTAAGGCCTTCTGTTATCTGTCAGGTGCTGATTTAAGCAGAATAATGTGTTGGGACTGGGTTAAATAATTTTTTTTCCAACATAGCACATGACCTTGAGAATTGGCATAAAATAGAGCCAGATGCTAAAATGCCTTCCTATATTGTTTTCCAAGGCTAGACCAGTTCCTCTCAGATGTATAGTTAAGGATATCAGATTATCCATGCTTCTAAAAGCCAAATGGCAAGAGGCTTACCCACAGGGTCAAAGCACTGCAGCTGGACATCAGTAGACAGAAGCCAAGAGTGTCCAACTCAGGGTTATCGAGGAGCGGTTGATGCTTATCTGATCCCAGACTTGGCCCTATTTTAAAAGAGAAATTGCATTATTTTCCTTATAAACTGACACACGTTTTAATTAATTTAGGAGACTGTCTGTTGACCAAAACGAGAAAGACTCATTTTAGCATAGTAATTCCTCACAGAGTGATTTTCCTGAGGATACCTACCAATGTCCTGTCCGGGAAGCTGGCAGTTGGTACTCCAGCTGAATGACTTCTTAGCCAAGCGATTGACCCTGTGCTTTAAGATCAAGAGGAAAAAATGGAGAAGAGATGGTATGGGATGGCTAACAAGGAAGAGAGGAAGCCAGGACTACTCCCTCACCAAGTTCCCACTTCCTGGAAAGAACTGCATGGGACCCTCCAAATGCCTGTTTGCCCAGGAGTTAGCTGCAGAGGGTGGATGGGTTTAGGGGTTACAGTCTTGTTGGGACTGCCACAGCAAGGCAAAGATGTACACACATGAAAAGAATGTGATGTGAGGACCCCAGTCGGAAGGTAGCCAGGGGGAGAGCTCGAGAGTTAGTCTGCTCTCAGTGGAGCCTGTTGAAACTACCACCTTGCCTACACCGTGCCCATAGACGAACCAAAGAGAGACATAGACAATTTCTTCATGGGCAACCCAAAAGAAGGTTTCTATCTTTGCTATCTGTCCTCCCCACTCTCTTATCAGAGGGTCATGTGACAGCGAGAGAGGGGTGAGAGCCAGACTGCCTCCCTCCAATCTAAGCCACTAGGAACTAGGGTGAATAAGGAGGTTAGGGGAGAGCTTAAAGTCATACATATAAGATTTAAGTTGTAGAATGAACAGCAAGGAGTCATAAGAACTGAAAACGACCGTTCTAATAGATGAATCATTAGGAACCAATAGGAAAGTAAGTTTCAAAAGAGCAAATAATAGCAGTCACTAGGGAAAAAATTTCATTTGATACACAATAGTTGAGACTCTTCCCTGACAGTTAACCGTTAGACATCCAGACATTTATGTCCTCCCCCTCTTAAGACCTCGAGATTCCATCCATACTCCTCTCTCCACTTTTGCCCTCTTAGTACAGCAGCAACCTTACAAGGATCAAATGCACACCAACCAACATCATAACCTCCTTTTTAATCTATTTTCCCAGTGGCACCAGGAGCCCCAAATGGTCAAGAGGTGGTCTCGGCTTCTAATTCAATGAGACCATTGTGGATCTCCCGGTGGAAACATTCCTTTCTTGGTATTAAGAGCTTTAAACAAGCAAAATCCAAAGCAGTGGAGAAGGAGAAAAACTACTTTGCAAGTGACAGGAGAATCCCATTCCAACATTTACCCTGACGCATGTATTCTGGCTTTGGGAGAAACAGCCCCCTATATAGTCCTGGGTCAGACACATGCCCCATCAAGCATCCTGATCCTGCAAGTGTTGTATCTCAGCTGACAACAAAACTGAATCCTCAAAAGCCTTTCTACCCAGTGACATCTGGATGACACGGTACATGGTAAAACCAGTGAGTCCCATCGGATATAATTAACATTTTGCTCTGCTTCTTTTATGAAAGAGTGAATTTCTTGGTCCAAAACAGTTACACAAAATATTGTGTTAGTAAATCAACTCTAAGACCAAAAATGACGCTAATGGGAGAAGAAGAGTAGACAAAGAAAAAAATTCATATCCAGAATAAGTGTTTTTTCCACTGTAAGGAAAAAGTCCCATTCATGAATGAAGAGATTTAGTGTAACTCATCTGCCACCATTCACCTGACTGTGAGGGCTCAGAGGTCATTGCTGATCACAGGTTGATAACCTGAAGAGGAAAAATAAAATCTGTGTTATAATCCATGTTAGATATGGAGTATAAACTCCTATCTGCCACTATTTCACTCTGTTCATGACACCATGAAACAAGTTCTCAGTGCTGGGAAAGAAACCAAGTGACATCTACAGGACAGGTCATTTTATCTACCTGATAATTTAGCCTTCTCTGTAGTAGGAGCCTTTTGGTGAGCAGCCACAGGATACACAGATATCCTTACACTCTGGGTTCACTCTGAGCATGTAACACAAAGGAAAGCATAGTACATAATGTTGTTGCCACGCTTAGACCCAAAAAGCAGAGGGAAAAAAGAAGACCCAGAAATATAAAGTCATGCAGAGAGGGCCACCTAGAAGAAAGCTGTGACACTCATTTGAGATAACCCAGCAGGCAAAGTGTCAGGGGAATATATAATTTAACTTCAATCTCCTTCTTCCCTCTCATCTCCTGTTGGGGAGCCTATTTACCAAACCGTTCCAGAAACCAGAGGACAAATGATGCAGATCAAACAGGTCCGCCTTCTAGAGCAGACAGCAGGAAATGGGCAGAGAGGTAGAAACAAGTGACAAGTAGATCTAGAGAGGCACACAGGAGATACCCAGCAGACATTTCTTCAAAAATTATTTATCAAATTCACCTACTATGTGCCAAACACTATTCCAGATGTTGGGGACAGAACAGTAAAAAAAATAAAAATAAAAATAAATAAAACAGACAAAAATGCTTAACCTCATGGAGCTCATAAAATAAATAAAGTACATGCATAAAATATAGTGTATTAGATATTCACAAGTCATAATGAGAAAATAAAGCAGGGAAGGGATATGAGAAAATGTTGGCTGAGGAAGACTATCATAATCTTAAATAAGATGACAGAGAGGGCTGCATGGAAAACCTGAAGGAGGTCAGGAAGCGAGCCTGTAGATATTGGGGAAGATTAAACCAAACATAGGACATAGCAAGTGGAAAGGCTCTGAGATGTGAGTACACCTGGTGTATTTGAGGACCATGAGAATGTTAGTGAGTGAGGTGGACTGAGCAAGAGAGACAGTATTAAGAGAGAATATCATAGAGGTGAAGGAGTTGGGGAGGCAGGGTGGAGGATATAACTTGTAAAACTCTACAGGACATTGACAGAAATTTGGCCTTTCCTCTGAGTGAGATGGGAAACCTTTGGAGGCTTTTGAACAGAGGAGCAGTATGATCTGATATGTGCATGCGTCATCATTCTGGCAGCTGTGTTGAGATAGACTGACATGGAAAGGAGGATCAAGGTTAAGAGAAGGAGATCAGTTAGGAGGATATTGCAAGAACCCAGTCAAGAGACAGTCTTGGCTTAGACCATGGGGGTAGCAGGGATATTGGATGGTAAAGTTGACAGGATTTACTGAAGGATTGAATGTGGATGTGAGAGAAAGGGCAAAGGTTGACTCCAAGGTTTATTGGCTACTGGGAAAAAGTAATTGCTATTTACTGAGACAGGAAGGATTGCAAGAAGTCAGTTTGGTGTTTATTGCACTGAGTGGATATTAGGAGCTCAGTTTTGGACATGTTTGACATCCACGTGGAGACGTGAAGGTGATGGATGGATATTTGAGTCTAGATCTTAGGAGAGAGGAGGAGATTTAAATACGCATTTGACAGGGTGGTGCCCTGGAAACCAAGGAGAGGTGATCTTCTATGACAAGTGCTGCTGATAGTTTAAATAAGATTTGACCTAAAATCACCATTGGAAGAAGCAATGCAGGTGACATTGAGGAGAGCAGTTTTAGTAAAGGGGAGGGATGTGAGGTGGTTTGAAGCGAGATCAAGAAAAATGGAAGGAGACACATTGGAGATAGTAAGTACAGACAAACCTTGCAAGGAACTTTGCTATAAAGGGAAGGAGAGGGAAGTGGGGTCAACATAAGGTTTTTAAAGACAGAAGAAATTAAAAACCTTTTCTCTCAAACCTCATTGTCACCAGTCCTCCAATCTTGATCAATTAAAATTTATCTCAGAAATTGAGGTATGAGTCTATTTAAGAAAATCTATCAACAAAATTCACAACATCAACAGACTAAAGGGAAAAATGCAGAAAAAAACCCCTGACACTATAAGGCAGCGAAAACATTTGATTTTTGATAAACACGTATTTATGATGGAAAAAATACCTTTCAGAAAACTAGGAATAGAAGGAAATCCTTCACCTTGATAAAGTTTGTATGTCAAAATCTATCAGCAAACATAATTAATGGAGAAACTTTAGATCAGGAGCAAGATTAAGATGCCCTCTCTCTCCTATTGTTTATACTCAAGGTCTTGGCCAATTTTATAAGAAAGAAAAAGACAAGTGGCTGAAAGGATTGGAAGGAAAGAGACGAAACTGCCATTACTTGCAAATGATATGATCATTGATCCAGATAAACCAACAGAATCAACAAACCATTGTAAAAAATTTCTCTAAACCAATAATAACCAACTAGAAAATGTAATAAAAATAAAACACTATTCACAGTAGTAACAAGAAAACTATGAAATAACTAGGATTAAATTTAATCCAATATGCATAAGATATCTATGAAGAAAACTTTAAAACTCTAATAAAGGATACTAAGAAAATCTAAATAAAAGGAAATTTATCCTCTTAAATGGGACAACTTGATAGTGTAACAACTTATTTTTTGAAAAAAAACTACTAAAGGATATAAAGAGGATTTAAATAGAAAATTTCATGCTTTTGTATGGTACAACTTTATATTGTAACAATGTTTCCCTAAATTCATCTATAATTTTAAATAATCTAACTCAAAATTCCAGTTGGATATTTTGAGGAAGATGATAACCTTAGCCTTAAATATGAATAAAATTCAACTTTAAAAGCATTAAGCCTTAAAGAAATAAGATTATAGAGGTGGAATTTGCCCTACTTGATATTAACAGAATATTGGCTCTTAACACCTGAGATGAACAAGTTTTGGCTCAAGAGCAAACAAATAGATCAATGGAATAGAACAGAGAATTTAGAGACAACCCTTTAAGTATCAGAATTTAACTTGTACTAAAGAAGGTACCAAAAATCCATTGAGAAATGAAGATTAATTGATTGATAGTAGATGATGTTGAGGAAACTGGCTCACTGTGTGGAACAATATAAGCCGAATTATTATCTAACATCATCACTATATTGAGAAATATAAACTGGATCCTTATCTAACGTCAAATACAAAGGAGGATTCTAGATGCGTTTAAAGACTTAAATGTGGGGAAAAAAGTCATAGGGGAAAAATTCAGAAAATATCTTTATGTCCTAGAAGCAGGGACGGACTTTTAAATAAAAGTTGGAAAACACAAACCATAAGGCAAAATGTTGCTGAACTTGGTTACATTAAAATTAAAGCTTTCTAAACCGCAGTGAAGTACCACATCACACCCACTAGAATGGCTACAATTTAAAACGATGGAAAATAGTAAGTATTGGCAAGGATATGGAGAAACTGGAACCCTTGTACATTGCTGGTGGGAATGTAAAATGGTTCAGCCATTGTAGAAAATAGTATGGTGGTTCTTCAAAAGTTAACCATAGAATTACCTTATGATCCCACAATTCTACTCTTAGGTATATACCCCCTAAGAATTATAAACAGGGGCTCAGACAAGTGCATGTACACACATGTTCATAGCAGCACTATTCACAATAGCCAAAATGTGGAAACAGCACAAATCGATCAAAGGAAGAATGGATAAACAAACCGTGCAATGGAATATTATTCAGCCAAAAAAAGAATAATGACATGTACTATAACATGGATGAACCTCCAAAACATTATGCTAAATGGAAGAAGCCAGACATAATAGGTCACATGTTGTATGATTCCATTTATATGAAATATCCAGAATAGAAAAATCTATAGAGATAGAACAGATTGGTGGTTGCCACAGGCTGGAGGATAGGGAGGATGGAGAGAAATTGCTCAACGCCCAGGGTGTTTTACTTTGGAGTGATGGAAATGTTTTGGAACTAGATAAAGGTGGTGGTTGCATGACATTGTAAATTAACTACATGTCTCTGAATTCTTCACTTTAGAGTGGTTAACAAAAAAGTCTTGGTGAAGGTACTAAAAAAAGACGCTTTCTATCCAGGGAAAAAACTAATAGGCAGATAACAGAATTAAAGAAGAAGGGCTGACCCCACGGCCGAATGGTTAAGTTTGTGCACTCTGTTTCGGTGGCCCAGGGTTTCGCCAGTTCAGATCCTGGGCATGGACTTGGCACCACTCGTCAGGCCATGCTGAGGCAGCATCCCACACAGCACAACCAGAGGCACTCACAACTAGAATATACAACTATGTGTTGGGGGGCTTTGGGGAGAAGAAGAAGAAGAAGAAAAAAGAATTAAAGAAGATATTCTTTAAATATTCTTTAAATATTCTTTAAAACTGACAACGAATTAATATCTAGAATATACAAAAGAAATCTTGCAAAAGATATAAATCAGCATTTGCAGAAGTTGATAAAGATACGAAGAAATGCTCACATTCATAATCAGAGAAATGCAAATTAAAACAACAGCGATATATTAATTTACATCTATTAGATAGGAAAAAATTGGAAAGTTGAATGATGCCAATTGTGGATGGGGGGATGTATCTTAGATCATGTTCCCCAGAAGCAGATCTTGAGATGTAGCTTCATTTGCAAGTGATTTAGTAAGGAAATCATCTCAGGATAAACGTAAGGGAGTAGGGGATGCAGGACAGAAAAACAGAAGAAACCAAACAAGGAGTATTTCAGACGGAGTCCTAGCCTCAACCTGATCCTGTGCAGAAGTTCTAGAGAGGAAATCACACCTCAGTCAAAACCATTTTGAGGCAAAAGAGCTGAGCTTTAATACCTAATCCTGAAGTCACCCATTGCCTACAGGATGCCCTGGGATGACCCCCAGGCACATCATATTCTCTGGGCTAAGTGGCTCCAACAGCCCAAGGGCAATCCTCTAAAGAAGTTTTTAGG